ATGAACCCATCCCTGCCCTTGTGTGGCAGTGCACAGTAGAAAGTTGTTTTCACATATCCATACATTAAAACACTGATTGTAACCATGATATATATGTGCTTCAGCCTACAGTTTAGACCTATTGTCTTGTGTATGACCCTCTGTCCTGCGTGACAGTGAATACCAGCATTATCCTCACTTTAATAAGACTTAATTTAAATCCCCAGTTTAGGCAAAATTGTAATTCATTTTGTCAATAAAGATGTTAATAATAATAAATGGTTTCCTTTTGTGTAATTCCGTGTTCGTGTAGCGGCCGCCCGTGTTTCTCTCGGAGAATTTGATGTGGTAATCATGTTTCCCCTAACTCGCTGCTCTGTCTCCCATTGACGTAAGTTTTCATATGTCCTTCGTGTGTGTGTGTGTGTGTGTGTGTGTGTGTGTGTGTGTGTGTGTGTGTGTGTGTGTGTGTGTGTGTGTGTGTGTGTGTGTGTGTGTACTCACCTAGTTGTGCTTGCGGGGGTGTAGCTCTGGCTCTTTGGTCCCGCCTCTCAACCGTCAATCAACAGGTGTACAGATTCCTGAGCCTACTGGGCTCTATCATATCTACATTTGAAACTGTGTATGGAGTCAGCCTCCACCACATCACTGCCTAATGCATTCCACCTGTTAACCACTCTGACACTGAAAAAGTTCTTTCTAACGTCTCTGTGGCTCATTTGGGTACTCAGTTTCCACCTGTGTCCCCTTGTTCGCGTCTCACCAGTGTTAAACAGTTTATCTTTATCTACCCTGTCAATTACTCTGAGAATTCAGTGTGTGCGTGTGTGTGTGTGTGTGTGTGTGTGTTTTTGTCCTCCCTTTTGTAAGTAAAACATTAAAGATCAGTCCTAGAGGTACGCTGAGGGGCCGTGTTGCTTCTGTTATTGGGTGGCAGGTTGGCTGGTCCAATATAGCTATAGTTACATCCAGTGATGGTACATGTTTCCTCTCCTCCTCTGTCGTTACCTCAGTATTGCTGCTCAGTTGTGAACAATCCATGGAAGCTTCACAATCAACGTGAACAATCAAAAGAACCAATGGAATCAATGTAAGTCCAGTTACTCACATATTTCCTTATCATTTCGTGTGTCTTCGCCCTCCTCCTTTTTTTTCGTAATCTAGTCACTTGGTCATTCACTATTGTCCTTCTTATATGTAACTATATGGAGAAGGTTCGGTCTGATCTGGACGCAGTGTCATGTTCATGGTGTCGATCCGACAATCTTCTTATATTTATGGATTCATTCCTGGCCCTGTTGCATCTATTCCGGCGTTCCCTCTGTCCGTTGCCCTCTGCTCCCTCCTGCTCTTTGCTTTTGCTTCCCGGCACTGCTACTTGTACGTCTCTCTTATTGCTGGCATCAATATATCTTGTGCCTCTTTGTGAGACGGGGGGAGGGAGAGAGAGAGAGAGAGAGAGAGAGAGAGAGAGAGAGAGAGAGAGAGAGAGAGAGAGAGAGAGTGCGGAGGATAGGAAGTAAGGATGAAACAGTCAGTGAGAAGGAGAATGAGAGAGAGAGAGAGGGGCGGGCAGGTACAAGGGAGGACAAACAGATGCTGATCAACAAAGCCCGAGACCTGTATGGCCGGGCGGGATGGGGTGGGACGGGGTGTGGGGACACACCTGCCCTTAGGGGACCCTAATCCTTCAAGACATTTTAAAGGGGCAGCGCATTCCTTGAGGCCAGGAGGCAGGTGTGACAAAAAAGCCAAATGCAGGTAGGTAGCCGTCCCGCTGTAAAGAGTAACGGCGATACCAGCGCATGGGAAGAAAAAAAAGATACAGAATGAGGAAAAAAGTTATTTTTTTTCTCTCTTCCTACGTCTCACATAAGCGGTCCAGACTGGCCCGCATAGTTTCCCCCCTTTGAGCCAAACTTTTCACGTTTTCTATCAGACGCATTTTTTTTCCTACGGCAGACAAAATATATAGCCGCGAGTTTGAGTTAATATCTCTAACGCGTAACTTTACTAGTCTGCTGCAGTAGCAGTACACCCGGAGCTGGATATATTACCCGCGGGAGAAACTATAGAGCGGGTGTAGCGTCACGCAAGACGATGACGACGTGTGTAAAGGAGGAATGACGGGGACGTCTGTGGTGGCGGGGAAGTTCCCAGACGCAACACCAGGGGCCCGCCCCACCTTCCCCTATACATTACACCCTCTCCGCCTCTCCTCCACACACACACAAAAACTACACCACACATGCTGGAGACGGAGGTGGGGGGGGGGTGAATAGAAAGAAGAGGAACAGCAGGACCAAAGAGAGAGAGAGAGAGAGAGAGAGAGAGAGAGAGAGAGAGAGAGAGAGAGAGAGAGAGAGAGAGAGAGAGAGAGAGAGAGAGAGAGAGAGAGAGAGAGAGAGAGAGAGAGACAGACAGACAGACAGACAGACAGACAGACAGACAGACAGACAGACAGACAGACAGACAGACAGACAGACAGAGAGGGACGGTAGAGGAAGGGCAGGAAAGGTCAGGCACAAAAGGAGACGGTAACATACAGGTGATTGGGGGGGGGATAAAGAGAAGAGACAGAGCTCGGTAGACAGGAAGGTAATACCAGCGTACAGAACACGGGGGGTAAGGGAAGGCAGCATTAACAAAGAAGAACAGGGTATGGGAGAAAGTGAGACTGGAGCTAGAGAGAACCCGGTCTCCAAGGATCCCAGGAGGGAAGGTGTATAGGGAGAGCAGGCCTATTAGACCATCCTGGTGTGTGACCATAGGCCTCCAGCCCCTCCCCCCCCCCGGGCCATCCATCACACCCCGGCTAACGACCTAACTACCCCCCCCCCCCTCCCCCTAATACACCTCCACATTACCGTACAACGTTACAAGACTCAGACAAACTACTTCCGACTCTGTCACTCTGTCACAAGGACTGTTAATCGCATGGCATCTTAAGATTTAGCTGTGGTGAAGACGGAGAGAGAGAGAGAGAGAGAGAGAGACAGAGAGAGAGAGAGAGAGAGAGAGAGAGAGAGAGAGAGAGAGAGAGAGACAGAGACAGAGAGAAAGAGAGAGAGAGAGAGAGAGAGAGAGAGAGAGAAGAGGAATGTGGTGTGAGAGGATGACGGGTAAAGAGAGGGGAGATAAAATAAATGTTATGACACCTGTAGCAGCTCGGGGGAGACTCCCCTCGTTCCCACGGTCTCCCCTCGCGGCCGGGCCCGGAGACGAGGGGACGGAGCCACACACACACGGGGGGAAGGAACGTGGCTAGCGGACCACCACGGCGATGTGAGCGAGAGAGAGAGAAAGAGAGAGAGAGAGATTCTTAAATTTAATTTTGTATATTATTTGGTATATTGTTGTCTTACACCTGTATCTTGGGCCGGACGGTAGAGCGACGGTCTCGCATCATGCGGGTCGGCGTTCAATCCCCCGATCGTCCCCACAAGTGGTTGGGCACCATTCCTTCCCTTCCCCGTCCCATCCCAAATCCTTAACCTGACCCCCTTCCCACTGCTATATAGTCGTAATGGCTTGGCGCTTCCTCCTGATAGTTCCCTTCCCTTCCCTTCTCCGCCGCCTGCAGCTGCTGCCTGCTGCAGGCCAGCCTCCCCTCACCCTGTAAGTCTGGTCTCACGAGGGTGAGAGGAGGACTAACCTAACCAGCCCACTCTCACTCTCCCATACGCCTCTCACCCCTCTTCAACAATCCTCTTATTCCCACTCCAACACTCGTCTACCCCTCAAACTCCCACTCCAAACCCACATTAGTCTCCCCACACCCACCCAAACACCTCCCATACCAAGTTGTTACTCCCCCCCTCCCCCACCGGAAGGAGACTGACAAATGGCTATTAGAGTTGAACCCCAACAAGTGTAAGATAATGAAGATGGGGGAAAAGGGTGGGAGAAGACCATAAAGAGTCTGCACCATATTAAGACAACCGCAGGAATCAGAGACAAGCGTTGGAAGGGGGGAGAGAGTTATCAGGGGGAAAGCGTCAAGCCATTACGACTGTATATATAGCACTGGGAAGGAAGGGAGGGGGGGGGGGTTCAGGATAAGGATTTGGTATGGGACGGGGAAGGGAAGGAATGGTGCCCAACCACTTGTGGGGACGGTCGGGGGATTGAACGCCGACCTGCATGAAGCGAGACCGTCGCTCTGCCGTCCGGCCCAGGATACAGCTGTGAGACAATAATATGCCAGGTAATATACACAATAAAATTTAAGAATATCGACATTATTTTTCAGCTGACATATCTGCTTTTATGCAGCTGTCCTAGACTGTGTGGAGGTGGCACAGCATTTGTGCAGCTGTCCTAGACTGTGTGGAGGTGGCACAGCATTTGTGCAGCTGCCCTAGACTATGTGGAGGTGGCACAGCATTTGTGCAGCTGTCCTAGACTGTGTGGAGGTGGCACAGCATTTGTGCAGCTGTCCTAGACTATGTGGAGGTGACACAGCATTTGTGCAGCTGTCCTAGACTATGTGGAGGTGACACAGCATTTGTGCAGCTGTCCTAGACTATGTGGAGGTGACACAGCATTTGTGCAGCTGTCCTAGACTATGGTGGTTGTGGTAAAGTTTTGCAACCAGTATAAACATTGCCGGAACGAAGGTGAATGTATTCAAGAGGCGCACTTAGATAAGTTCTTGCAAGAAGCGCCGGACCAACCGGGCTGTGGTGGGTACGTGGGCCTGCGGGCTGCTCCTGGCCCTGAGGGTCACCACACCCTGAGGGTCACCACACCCCAAGGGTCACCACACCCTGAGGGTCACCACCAGCTGTCTTTCTCACCACACGAGCATCAATCAATCACTTTTATTTCCTAACGTTTCTAAAAATGATTGTAAACAAAACTAAAATGTTGAATCTTCTTCTCTCGAGCGTGTTGAGCGCGCTCAGTACAGTGGGGAGCTTGAGCACTGCTGTCTTGAGCACGGCGGCGGTGCTTACGCGCTGCGGCCTGCGGGCGCTGGGCTCGATGGTTTCCCGCGCTTTGAGCCGCGTCGTGTCGCGTCAGGCTGCGGCATGGGAGATGCTGGCGCCTGCGGGAGGGGACAACCTCCTCCTGCGTCTCCTGGCAGACGCAGGCGGCCAGTCGTGGTCTGGTCGACACCTGTGGCAGGTGTCCTTGCTGCCCTGGTGGGGCGTCTCCGGCCTCCTGGTAGTCCTTTTAGTGTTCGGGCTTAAGGCTTTTAGAAAAGGCGTGGCAGCCTCCGTTAGCGGCCGCGAGCCTTCCGTTAGCGGCGGCGAGCCTTCCGTCAGCGGCGGCGAGCCTTCCGTTAGCGGCCGCGAGCCTTCCGTCAGCGGCCGCGAGCCTTCCGTCAGCGGCCGCGAGCCTTCCGTCAGCGGCGGCGAGCCTTCCGTCAGCGGCGGCGAGCCTTCCGTCAGCGGCGGCGAGCCTTCCGTCAGCGGCGGCGAAACTTCCGTCAGCGGCGGCGAGCCTTCCGTCAGCGGCCGCGAGCCTTCCGTCAGCGGCCGCGAGCCTTCCGTCAGCGACGGCGAGCCTTCCGTCAGCGGCCGCGAGCCTTCCGTCAGCGGCGGCGAGCCTTCCGTCAGCGGCGGCGAATCTTCCGTCAGCGGCGGCGAATCTTCCGTCAGCGGCGGCGAGCCTTCCGTCAGCGGCGGCGAAACTTCCGTCAGCGGCGGCGAAACTTCCGTCAGCGGCGGCGAAACTTCCGTCAGCGGCGGCAAAACTTCCGTCAGCGGCGGCGAAACTTCCGTCAGCGGCGGCGAAACTTCCGTCAGCGGCGGCGAACGCTCCGTCAGCGGCGGCGAACGCTCCGTCAGCGTCGAGAAAGCCTCCATGAGAGGCGGAAGGAGAAGAGTATGCAAGAGGCGAGGGAAACGCCAGCAAAGGCGAGGCGAGGAAGCTTCTGCCAGAGGCGAGGAAGCCTCCGGCAAGGGCGAGGAAGCCTTGGGCAGAGGCGCTCAAGCCTCCGACAGAGGCGCTCAAGCCTCCGACAGAGGCGCTCAAGCCTCCGGCAGAGGCGCTCAAGCCTCCGACAGAAGCGCTCAAGCCTCCGGCAGAGGCGCTCAAGCCTCCGACAGAAGCGCTCAAGCCTCCGACAGAGGCGCTCAAGCCTCCGACAGAGGCGCTCAAGCCTCCGGCAGAGGCGCTCAAGCCTCCGGCAGAGGCACTCAAGCCTCCGGCAGAGGCGCTCAAGCCTCCGGCAGAGGCGCTCAAGCCTCCGACAGAGGCGCTCAAGCCTCCGGCAGAGGCGCTCAAGCCTCCGACAGAGGCGCTCAAGCCTCCGGCAGAGGCGCTCAAGCCTCCGGCAGAGGCGCTCAAGCCTCCGACAGAGGCGCTCAAGCCTCCGGCAGAGGCGCTCAAGCCTCCGACAGGGGCGCTCAAGCCTCCGGCAGAGGCGCTCAAGCCTCCGACAGAAGCGCTCAAGCCTCCGACAGAGGCGCTCAAGCCTCCGGCAGAGGCGCTCAAGCCTCCGGCAGAGGCGCTCAAGCCTCCGGCAGAGGCACTCAAGCCTCCGGCAGAGGCGCTCAAGCCTCCGGCAGAGGCGCTCAAGCCTCCGACAGAGGCGCTCAAGCCTCCGGCAGAGGCGCTCAAGCCTCCGGCAGAGGCACTCAAGCCTCCGGCAGAGGCGCTCAAGCCTCCGGCAGAGGCGCTCAAGCCACCGGCAGAGGTTTTCGAACTAATAAACTCACGGTGGTTTCCTGAAGGTTTCACTGAAGCCGCACAAGAAATTTAGTTTTTAATTTTTTTGTGACTTGTCTTAATTTTTTATATATATGCTTATCATGTGACGTTACGTGTGACGTTACGTTGTCAATATACGTGACGTGGCGTAACCAAATTTGTATGTCATTAAGTAGTTATTCATTAAGTAATTATCACTCTTCCTTCTACTTGGTCTTGAAGGAGGCCGGCCTCGGGTGAAAGAGGGCTGTGACGATCATTGTCAGGAACCCGTAGGTGCGGGACCGGACCGTCCACCTCCCGAGGGTCGTGCGGCCCCCCAGGCACTGCTTCAGGAGGCTGGGGGCGTTCATACCCTTGATGGGGTGGTTCTTCTCCGGCCCCGGCCACGGCGGTCTCCGGGGTTGGAGGTCCCTGTGCCCTTCTTCAACTTTGAGGTCAACCCCGGAACTCACAGTTCCTGCGACGGTGCTGGAACCAATCGTATTGGTGTATGCCTTTTCATTGGAGACTTTCAGCGCCGTAGAGAGGGGGGGGGGACCTGCTGCCTGGGTAACAGCTTCTTCCCCGAATCAACCTACCCTGGTTTTGCGCCCTGGTGAGGCCACTCCAGACCGACAGACTGATGGATGCCTACTACTACGTGTGTGTCAATGTCTTGGGTAACAGCTTCTCGTTTCCAAGAAGAACAGCTTCTTCTTGTGTAACAGGTAACAGCATGGCAGGCTGTGGTGGGTCGTGGCAGGCTGTGGTGGGTCGTGGCAGGCTGTGGTGGGTCGTGGCAGGCTGTGGTGGGCCGTGGCAGGCTGTGGTGGGTCGTGGCAGGCTGTGGTGGGTCGTGGCCGGCTGTAGTGGGTCGTGGCAGGCTGTGCTGGGTCGTGGAAGGCTGTGCTGGGTCGTGGCAGGCTGTGGTGGGCCGTGGCAGGCTGTGGTGGGTCGTGGCAGGTTGTGGTGGGTCGTGGCCGGCTGTAGTGGGTCGTGGCAGGCTGTGCTGGGTCGTGGAAGGCTGTGCTGGGTCGTGGCAGGCTGTGGTGGGTCGTGGCAGGCTGTGGTGGGCCGTGGCAGGCTGTGCTGGGTCGTGGCACGCTGTGTTGGGTCGTGGCAGGCTGTGGTGGGTCGTAGCAGGCTGTGGTGGGTCGTGGCAGGCTGTGGTGGATCGTGGCAGGCTGTGGTGGGTCGTGGCAGGCTGTGGTGGGTCGTAGCAGGCTGTGGTGGGTCGTGGCCGGCTGTGGTGGGTCGTGGCAGGCTGTGGTGGGTCGTGGCAGGCTGTGGTGGGTCGTGGCAGGCTGTGGTGGGTCGTGGCAGGCTGTGGTGGGTCGTGGCAGGCTGTGGTGGGTCGTGGCCGGCTGTGGTGGGCCGTGGCAGGCTGTGCTGGGGTGTGGCAGGCTGTGGCCGGTCGTGGCAGGCTGTGGCAGGCTGTGGTGGGCCGTGGCAGGATGTGGTGGGTCGTGGCAGGCTGTGGTGGGTCGTGGCAGGCTGTAGCAAGGTGTGGTGGGTCGTGGCCGGCTGTGGTGGGCCGTGGCAGGCTGTGGTGGGTCGTGGCCGGTTGAGGCAGACTGTGGTGGGTCGTGGCAGGCTGAGGCAGGCTGTGGCAGGCTGTGGTGGGTCGTGGCCGGCTGTGGTGGGTCGTGGGAGGCTGTGGCAGGCTGAGGTGGGTCGTGGCAGGCTGTGGTGGGTCGTGGCAGGCTGTGGTGGGTCGTGGCCGGTTGAGGCAGGCCGTGGCAGGCTGCGGTGGGTCGTGGCCGGCTGTGTGGTACAAGTGACAGGATGGACAACCCAACAGAGACCGGGGGAGGGGAAGGAGTGTCCCCGTGGTGGGGGTGCTCACGTGCACACGCCCCCCCCCCACCACTAAACTCTACCCTCGGGGGCAAACATTAAAAATTGAACACGTATATGGCGGGCAAGCGTGAGGACCACACAAGGAGGACACCAACAGCTAGGAGGATCACGGCCGGAGAGCGTCACATCCAAGCGCAAGTAACCGCCACAGTGACAAAAGTTACGTTTCTGCGTTTACGATGCGTCAGACGTGTGGGTACGTCAGACGCCTCGTCGGAGACGCAGCGGGCGGCCAAAATGGGGAATAAACGCCAAATACAACCAAACAAAACAAGTGTTTTTTGTTTAAAACAAAACTAACAATTAGAAACATAGGCTTGGTCTTAGCAACCAGAAATTAAAGTAACTTTTAGCGCTCAGAAACAACGCCAAAGCTTACGCATTACGCAAACATGGTGAGAATTAAGACGGCTAGCGTCTAAGATGACGCAAGTTTTAGGGGTTGGTAAATGTTAATCGCCTTGTTTGATAAGCTGTTCACTTGAGGCAGTTAAACAAGTCTTAGCTGTGTCTGGGTACATTTTTTTGTCTGCCACAGACGTGGCCAGACATTTGCAATGCTAAGCAACATAAATACATTTTCTTCTGTCTTCCATGGACATGGTGAGAGATTTGTTAATGATACAGTTCAGTGTTTTATTGAACAATCAACCACAGAAGGTGACTGTAATGCTTATAAAATGCTAATCTAACCTACATACATAAATTCACAGATTTACGGCTGTCCTACATAAACGGTGTTCGATGTGTCTTTTTACATAATGCCATTAATGTGCGTTTACAAAGGTGAAATGCAATTCTAACCAGCTTACATACATACACACATACATATATTGAGCAGTGACTTCTATGTTGGCATCTTCACGTTCCGGTCTTGTACTTACTCTCATGGTGGGTAGAGTGAATAGTTCCGTGATCTGGGTATTCATGGTAGGTTGTTCTATTTTGATGTAGATTGGTTCAAGAATTTGTAATCGTACAGGCGATGAGTCACAATAACGTGGCTGAAGTATGTTGACCAATCCATACACTAGAAAATGAAGGGACGACGACGTTTCGGTCCGTCCTGGACCATTCTCAAGTCGATTGCGACTTGAGAATGGTCCAGGACGGACCGAAACGTCGTCGTCCCTTCATTTTCTAGTGTGTGCATTGGTCAAGAATTTGTAATCGTCTTACATCTTGGGTTTTGTCTATTATACAAGTGTTTTTATTCAACATTTCTCATGTTAGGGTGATGTCATGGGCTTGTCTCACGTGATGCCTGGGGGCACCTGATTGAAGGTGACAGGTCAAACGCCTCGTCAGCTTGGTCGACGTCATACCTATGTACTTAGATTGAAGGTTACATCCTTCGTGGGGGCAGGTGTACATGTATACAGGAGGCAGGTGTACATGTATACAGGAGGCAGGTGTACATATATACAGGAGGCAGGTGTACATGTATACAGGAGGCAGGTGTACATATATACAGGAGGCAGGTGTACATATATACAGGAGGCAGGTGTACATGTATATACAACGCTTGACTGCTGTAAATGGTTCTCCGTCGGCTTCGGGCTGTTTTTGATAAGGAGGTCGGTAGTCTTCTTGGTTTTGTAGAATATTATCAGGTCTAAGTTTGGGTTAGGAGTAATGCTTTTTTTACTTTTTTTCTGGATTGTCTTTCATAAACACACACATATATATATATATGTATATATATATATATATATATATATATATATATATATATATATATATATATATATATATATATATATATATATATATATATATATACACATATATACACACACACACACACACACACACACACACACACACACACACACACACACACATATATATATATATACACATATATATATATATACATCTTCAGAAGGAGTATTAATACTCCTTTTGAAGATGTATTAATATACGAAAGTACTTAAGGAAATTCCTGTTTCAATTTTCCTCCGTGGTCTGACACTGTCACATTTTTAATCACGTGTTTATTTTCGTGATATACACACATGAGCCAAAGCTCAACCCCCGCAAGCACAAATAGGTGAGTACATATATATATATATATATATATATATATATATATATATATATATATATATATATATATATATATATATATATATATATATATATATATATATATGCACATACATATACACAAACACACATACACATTTATGTCTCTCCTACTTTGACAGGGTAAGGTAGCTGCTATATAAACTAGTGAGTTATTAAGCAGCTAACCACTGAAGGTAATTAGGATGCTTTTACAAGCTCAGGTTATAGTTACATCACATTGTATAACTGATACATTACAGAGTCAATCTTGGGTACAAGTCCAATATACCATCAAGTGTTCCAGTATTCATATAATAGTTACAGAGTTCAGCATACCTCAGCCCAGGAGGGCGAAACTCAGTCAATATGGGACATTCTGGGTAGAAGTGACAGGATGAACAACGCAACGGGTTCTCTTCCTATTGGGGAGTGTTGTACATGCTGCTATGGCGGTGTGTCCACTCACAGGATGAGTGGCGCTGCCCAATACTGTCACTATGGCGGTGTGTCCACTCACAGGAAGAGTGACGCTGCCCAATACTGTCACTATGGCGGTGTGTCCACTCACAGGATGAGTGGCGCTGCCCAATACTGTCACTATGGCGGTGTGTCCACTCACAGGATGAGTGACGCTGCCCAATACTGTCACTATGGCGGTGTGTCCACTCACAGGATGAGTGGTGCTGCCCAATACTGTCACTATGGCGGTGTGTCCACTCACAGGATGAGTGGCGCTGCCCAATACTGTCACTATGGCGGTGTGTCCACTCACAGGATGAGTGGCGCTGCCCAATACTGTCACTATGGCGGTGTGTCCACTCACAGGATGAGTGACGCTGCCCCATAAACTCGCCCCTCGGGGCAAAATTGAAGAACATTTAACCAGTGACAGGAATGCAACCCAATATGTCATCAACACTCTATGAACGCCACTAACCTGTCTTAACGCAATTGAATCTAACCCAACCCAGCAGCTGGGAGCGAGGCAGGGGGGAGGGGGGGGGGGCGGGTGCCCCCAGCAGCTGGGAGCGTGGCAGGGGGGAGGGGGGGGGGGGGATGGGGGGAAGGGGGGGATGGGGGGAAGGGGGGGGGCTGGGAAGCTGTGTTCTGCCGGCATTGTTCTTCTAGTTTCACCAGAAC